CAGGTCTTGCTGCCCTGAAAAATGTTCTTTTTGCTCTCCCTATTTCTCTATGCTCTCCTATAATCTGCTCTCAACACAGCAGCCAAAGGGCATTTGAATAATTGAGTACAAATATATGACCTTCACTACTTTTCTCTTACTTCTTTCCAGATAAGCTGTGTTCCTAATTGTCACTTAAATATGCAGGATAAATTGCCCCTTCATGTTTTTACACTAGCTCTTTGCATTCTCCCCAGAAATCAATTCCATTCCCTCAGGAATTTTCTCAAGAACTATTCTGACCATCTTACTTAAGATTACCTTCACACTCTACATCTGCATTCCTGATCTTCCATATTTTGTTTATTTCTCACCTTCTTTCACCATTTCAAGTCAGCTGATTCTTGTGTTTAAAAATCTGCCTCCATGCACAAGGATATGAGCTTCAAGTGACCAATGACTGTTTTCCCTTTTGTTCACTAATATATGTCTCATGTCTAGAGCTATAATTAGTACAGAGCAAGAACTCAATAAATATTTGTTAAATTGATAAATAAATTAGTTAGAAATATATGAGCCAAAAGAAAGAGCATTTTGGAATATAATCCTCTTTTAAAATCCTAAACACATTGAGACAGAGAGAATTCATTGTTATACATATTTAATTAGGAGAACTATCATTCCCTATGTTAAACAAACAACAAAATACACCTTAAATCTGTGGAAATGTTGTTGAATCAGTTCAATACCACTTCAAGTGAAGACTATTAAGCAAAGAATGTAATATATTTTTGAAAATCAGGAAGAAAATGCTAAAGTAGTAATTACATCAGAGCCACCTATAAAGATTTTAATCTGTAACAAAACTGGGTTAAATAAAAAAGTGTTTAATAATGTGTCACAACTGTAAAAATAAAATCAATTCTGCATTCATCTCAGAAAAGCTATGCAAATGAAAGTCAAAGTTCTGAGAAATACAAGGCTGCAACAGGTGCAGAGAATCCAGGAGCCATTGTGTGTTCTGGATTCTACAAGACCCTTGTTCCTCCTTCTCATGTTTACTGCCTAATACTTGCCCATTCTGATGTTTCTTAGCTACTCTTACAAGGAAATATGAAGAGAAACAAAGGGAAACTTAAGCAAGTTAAAGCTACTCCTTGACAGCAGCCAGAGGAATGTTCTAGAATCTTGATTTGGACAGTAAGAAAATATGTGTACTATTTCCAAAATATGCACAATTTTGGAAATTGGTTGCTAGCATTGGTCTAACCCAACTTTTTAAGGTGAGCTCTGGGTCTATCTATTTTTATTTATTGATTGATTGATTGATTTTGGTACTGGGGATCAAACTTGGGTCCTTGCACTTGTGAGGCAGGCAGCAGAACCAATGAGCTAAATCCCTGGCCCTGTGTCTATCTAAAATTTTGTGAGTTCAAAGAATGAAAATAACTCATGATATTGAATGCAAAAAGAAGAAAAAGTCCAGGAGAAGAGAGAAGGAGTAAGGGTAGGGAGATCACTGACTATGCTAAAGAATCATCAGTAGAAGATAAATCAACCTAATAAAACCTACTAGGGCCAAGAATTAAAGCTGTATTTACCTCTACTGGTACTATCAGTAGACACTGGGTTAAAATAACCATCTTCTCAGAGCCTACTTTCTTTTTTGTGAAATAAATAAAAATATACATTTCCCATAAAGGTGATTAGATAAGTAAATGGAAAAATAATGCAAAGCACCTAATGTGCAAATGTTCAGTATTTCCAACTACAGTTTCTATCATATTATCTGACCAATTTTTACCAAATGTTGATAGTCATTCATTTTAAGCATTCATTGTGCTTTTCAATTTTGCAAGGATAAAACCCTAAAGAAATATTTAGATGGTAATTAACATATGGTTACAACTATCTTGGGAAATGTGAAATGATAGATTAAAATGTGCAACTGGGATCTGTTTTACAATGAGAGGCAGCCTATTGATAAAAGTGTTTCTTTTCTTCAAATGCACAAGAAAATATTATAAAAGCTCTGTTTAAAAACTACAAAATGATATCTCTTGTAGGAAGGAAAATATTTTCCTCCTTTTATACAGTTCAAAGTGGAGAAAATGTGTTGTTCTTTGTAGAATTACTTGAATGTAAGTTCTATGAGAAGAGAAATCTCTGGCTCATTCATTACTGCCTCCCTTGAATACAACATGGCTTATAATTGGCAATTAGGAAATACTTCTGAATGAATACAGTATGCACAGACTATAGTGTACTTGGCACCAGAACAGGAGTCCATCTGCCTCTACAAATGACTGTAAACACTTACAAAAAACAAAGGTAAATAATGGCAAGCCAGTATTTCATTAACACCTAGAAAAAGGACAACACAACTACTTTCACAGTTTCTGAACCACCATTTGTAAAACATTGAAACTCTGCTATAGAACATACAGTCAGTGTGTAGTATTTGTTAGTATGGGTATAAATAAATTTGAAATGGCTAGTAACTTCTAGAGCCAAGATAATAATGATTATTTGAAGTGACCAAACTAGACCCTTCCTGTTAGAGAAGGAAAAAGAGTCAAAGGTTTGGGAAGAAAAGTTTAACTGCTATATTTAAAAGTAGACATCTAAATTTTTTATTTATTTATTCAAAAACTACGATTTATAGAGAAAAATCATACTCATATACTTTTTGTAATGTACCAAGAGATAAATGTGAATTTATTTAATAATAGGATATATTAAATTCCCAAGCAAAATACTAAAGAATGCTTAATTAAGAGTATGAAAAAGCACGATAGAATCATCAAATAGGATCTATAGATGCTGTTCTCACTCCAATTGCAAATCAGTTCAAACTTTGCCATGCTAAATAGTACAGTCTGCTTACATCTTTGCCAACTATTTTATCCGAAGAACAACGAAAAATACATTTCTAATAAATTATTGTCTCTCTGAAGATGTATGGGTCAAAGGTCACTTACTATTTTACTGTCTTACCTTTTGGTGACTTTATCTATAGTTTCTGGATCACAGGTATTTTTATGCATTGTACTCTATTATGCATTCTTCAATAGCATCTTTATTTATGACTTTGTGAATCAACATTGTTGTGATAGGAGGTGAAAGTCACTTAGCTAATTACACATACTTGATAAGCTGCATAATAATAACCACTGCTGTATTGCATATTAGTTGAAGGCATGTAAATTACTGCAGTTATTCTCATTTTGGGAAAAACAAGAGACTTTTTTAGTTGTTCAAAAACACCCTCATGTCTTTGATATTTATCTCTGTATGTACATTGTGCTTTTAACCAGAACTCTAGCATCAGTAAGACAAATAAAAGTTGTTCCCTCCTACCAGTATCACCAAGAAATGTTAGAAAAGAGTCAATTTAACGAAATAGTTTTGATCCATAGTTGAGAATATTATATGAGGAAGTGTGTTCCATATAATGCAGTCACAGTAAAACAGAACAGTTTAGACACTCCCAGCCCCACAAGGATGCTATAATGAAATCTGACTTGGTCCAGTCAGGAGATTAGAAGTGCGTTAGAGAGATAGAATGTGCAGCCCTGGAATATTAATATGACTTCTGTGTGAAGATTGGAAATTCTGTAAAGTTATGAATAAGGTCAAAATAGCTTGTAGATGATTTACTGCCATAGAAATCCATACTCTCCTATGAGTGATTTACTGAATATTATATAAAAGTGGAGTGTGGACAAGCTACATTCAGATGCAAGTTTGCAGCTGTCACTGTCTACGTTTGCTCAGTCTGGCTAGAGAATGATTTGAAGGTTGATTTAATTGTAGCTTCTGAATCATGTTCTTCCCTAAATTCTAAGTTGTTTAACATAAATATAAAAATGTCGAAGTAATTTTAAGAATGTAAATATTTAGCATAAAGTCTAAAAAATCTCATTCTCTTCACAGACCTAAAATGAAGACTCCTGGAAAAAAATGCCACTTCTCAATAATAGTGATTGTCAAATATATTTGATGCATTTACTTTTTAGATAAAATTCACAAGATGTTTAGAATGAGCTAAGAATAAACAAGCAAAAACAAAATTTGTGACTGAACTGAGAATTTCTTGTTTTTTAGTACCTGGGGTTGAACTCAGGACCTTGTGCATGCAAGAGAATTTTGAAGAGAAACGTGTGTACATCTGGTCGGGAAAATTTAAAGTTCTTAAAATTGAGCAAGTGCTAAGGCAGCATTGTCAGGGTTCCTTGAAGATACCTTGATATATTTGTCTCTGGAAACAAATTCCAGCAGAGATTTATTTCTTGGTGATGCCACAAGCACTGAAACACAAGGCATCACCGATGAACTTTGCTGAAGTTACCTATTCAGCTCTCCCTTTATCTGCCTTTCTATTCCTAGCCAAACTTAATCAAAGTCCAAAAATCACCTAACCATTTGCTTCCCAGCATCAGCAAATCATCCTTAGGGAGAGTATCTTGATCTTCCTCTGTAAGCTTTCAACCCATTTTTTTAATTTTCACTTTTATACATACCTCCTTTTCTACATATTTTCTTGCCGGGCTTTCTGGCACATTCCTTGGATATTCTTTTTACTGAAAAATGAATAGAAGACTAGAAAATAACATGGCGCTCCATCACAGACCGCCGGAACATGCAACACTATCTAACTCAATACACTCCTGCAGTGACTGAGTGCGAAGGATCCCCGATTCCTTGAGCCTGCACATGCAATGAGGAAATGTTGATGCATCTTCTCAGAAGTCATTCGGTAGGAAATGGAAACTAGGAGCCCATTTCTACCTAATTATACGTGCTGTGGAGGAAAGAAAATGAGTAGGCACAGGAAAAAATAGGAATAGATACACTGACACACATAAATCAAAGGAGCAGCATGCAAGCATGTATAATATGTCTACATGCCAACAGGAAAAGCCATGCACGCTACCAGTACACATAAATTAATATTGTTAGAACTTAGAATAGAAAAAATAAATAAGTATATCTCCCTGTTTTTCCTTTAATAAACTCACCATCCTCGGTTGGGACATATATGTTTAAATACAGGCAGTCTTCGCTCTGGTCTTGCACATATGATGAAACTACATCCAAGTTATTCGTAAACCACACAGGAAGCATGACTTCTGGCAGTCTGCCATCAATAATATTCTGGGGACACACCGGAGCAAATTGAGTGGCATTCCTGATATCTGACCAGGGAGATGGTGGCTCCGGAGGCTGAAAACGATGTTCTCCCGTTGGTGGAGCGGCATATGGAACCCCAAGAAACTGAACAACAGGCCCCAAAATTTCGTTATTGAGTTCTTTCTTAACCCCTCTTATCTTGCCAAAGTTGGTAGTCACCAGTGGGTCAACATCATCCAATTTTTGTGAAAGCACGTGGGCAGCCTGAAGCAGACTTCCCAACATACAGAGAGTCAACGAGACACCCAATCCCCTGTGTACCAAACACGCCATCACTGCTCTCCAAACATAATTTGGCCACGTGCATCTGGGAAGGGCCATGGTCCCACATTAGTTGTCTAGTTGTCTGGTTTCAGTGAGGCAAATGTATTTATATCCACTTGAGAAATACTGGACAGTGCTAGTTATGCCTCCACGTTTTCAAAGGTGAGCTTCTGGAGAAAAGCTCAGAAAGCTCTTCAGTCAGCAAGTATCTCCCATTGATTTCACACGTATTGAGGCAGCATTTTCAGTCATCACTATTTATCGGACCATATCCTATTGACCATTCTGTTTTCCATAGTAGCAATGTGGCAGAGTGGCCATTAAGTGCAGATTTCCTTCTTATAAATCAAATCCAGTTAGCTGTGGGTCTATATCCTAGAGAAAATAAAAATAAATCATTAGTACAAACAACCTAAAATAGACAGAGTGATAACTTGACTTTTTACAAGCTATGGAAGTACATTAATAGTGGCTAGAGCCAGGTGAGTTAAATACAACTGTGGAAAAATTATGGTTTGATGTGAGATGACAGATAAAATAACTGATTATTAGATTATTGAGAGATTTGCCTGGGACTTTATGTATGCTTAAGTGGAAGCAGACTTTGTCAAAATATATAGTTCAGGAGCATTTAACAGTAAAGTATTTTGAAAATACTTAAGATTGTGTGTAAAAATTTCTTTTTATTGATAGTTCAATCATTTCATGTGACATGATTAATCAAAAGGTAGACTTAGCATAAGAATTCAATACCAGAAAACCTTTTTTAAAAGAACTTGTATTGTATTAGTGGAACATAAAATCTATAAGAAACACACACACACACACACACACACACACACACACACACACACACTGGTTTCCAGTCCCGTGTATGTGAGACCGTGAAAATTAATGCAGATTAAGCTATGATTATTTAAGTATAACTACCTCATAAAGTCAGGTTCCTTACTATCTCTCAAAGTTTGAATAAAATTTTGGTCATAAATATCTTATGATAAATTTAAACTCAAGAAATTAGAAGAGAAATGGCAATCAGCACAATTTGAAAAAGAGAGAGAAGTTGACCTAATTTTTGCAAACTACAATTATTTTATTAGCTAGCTATATATTTTAGTTAATAATAAATTTGCAAAGTTTAAATGAATTTCTGAGTCAAACTGAATATACTTTAAATTACAAGTTTTATTCTCACTGTTAGAGATCAGAGAATTTTTTAAAGTGTAGTAACTTAAAAGAACAATCATACCTAATCATGACATCTTGCATATTAATACTAATCAAACATCTAACACTGTTTACTCAGTTCAACTTGAAATCCTCAGAATAAGTTGTAACACCCAGTGCAGTACTATTCACCAGGCGATCTCACGTTGACTGCCAAATAGCACGCAGCTCAGAAAATTTGTCTTTTCTTGTTCAAGCAACCTTTTAAAGTGCTTTCTTTGAAAATAATAGTGTTGATTTGTATTAGAGATGGTTCTATCCTGTCATATTTGGGAAAATTTCTGGGAAGTGCTGGTCTAGCAGCAAAATTGCCTCGACTTTGTGTTATTTAAAAGGAGATTGAGAAAACTATATAGGACAGCGGGAGATTTGGTTGTGGCCTGGTGTTGTTCCTTTAGCTCTGAACAATCCACCACAAAAGGAAATAAAGAGATAAATGTCTTTCTTCAAGAACACTGCAGTCTCTGTTAATTTTTATGCTTTTTCTGTAAAAGCATGTTAACATACAAAAGATGGGCTTAGACGCTTCCTTCTTATGTTCTAGAACTCCAGCATTTGTGGCAGACTTAGCTTCACAAAGCCATTTCTGTAAAGAGTGTACTATACTTATTCTTGTGTTAAACGTCATGGGCCGTGGTACATCTATGTACCTCTTGTATTTACCATTTTTGTTTAAAAACCACCATTTTGACTCCTAAAATAGAGTTCTATGGTGAGGCCTTGAAAATGTCCATCATCACTTTTTAGTCAGCATAATTCTTAGGTACAGTGATCTTTAAAACATTTTCATACAATCTCAACAGTAATAAAAATACTTCCTTGTTTGTTAAAAAATAATTCCTTTTTATACTCAAAAATGCTTAACTATGTGATGAATGAAGACACTTTTGTTTCTTACTGATGCGGTATTTTGATACAAATTGAGGGCAATTGGAATTCCTTATGACAGTACATTTTACAATTTTTGCAACTTTAGCTCCAGAGTTTACCAAAATATCCCATTTTACATTTAGTTATATAGGGAAAACCAAAGTGTTGGCCCTAAAAGATTTTCAGAAGCCATTATTATAACAATAACAATCATTTAAATCTAATGTAAAATTATGGCTTATTTCAGTTATAGAAATTATAAAAGAAAAGCTCCTAAATATAAAAATTCTCATTTGTTGAAAAATTTTTACCCATTTACTGATACTTCCTAAGAATATGCTAAAAAATAGCTTTTATATATTTATATTTCATTTGTAAAAATCCTGTAAAATGGGTTCATTATCTGTTTTTACACCTGAAGACATTAGGCACAGTTTGAATATATTCGACAAAATCACTTAGCTAACTGATAGCATTTTCAAGACCCCATTGCCAGTGATCAAAGGACTGTCCTCTTCATTATTTAAGGACACAAATTCTCAATTCACATGCACTTTCAAATGATTTCATTCTAATGTTTTTACATTGGAAATGCAAACACACCATATATATTCCATTTCCTCACAATATGGAATCTAGTTAAATATTCTGACAATTGTATAGAAACAGAATTCTAAATGATCTTTGTTCACTACTTTTGTTCTATAGTGAGTGCAGTAATATATAGAACTGTACAAGATCATGTTAAAACAGTGATTTGAATATTGATTTAGTTACTTTGGAGGAACCAAAAAATCCATAACAACCAAATGCCCATTTTCAAATGCTGATAAATGAATGAGAAAATATGCATAAATTGAAATTTTGCGTCAGGAAAAACAAAGCATATAGATCTAAAATATTAGCGTGAATAAATCTCAAATACTTTGAACAAAAGAAGTTGTGGAATATTAGAAAACAGTAAAATATTATTTAAAGAAAAGCTAAAGTATACCAAACAAGGTATACAAACAATATAAAATAATATTATATTTTATTCACTGCTTATATATGAAAATACATATAAGTATATATAAATGTGTGTGTGTGTGTGTGTGTATGTGCAAGAGAATTGTTGCCTCTGGGAAAAAAGGAAAAGGAATGAAATTAATTGTAGAAATTAATTACATCATATCGATATTAATTTATTATTAAAGTGAGTTTGACAAAGTTTAGCATTTGATTTTGTGGAGTGACATATGCACATACATCTTTATTATGAATTCTCTGTATTACTTGATAGTTTAAATCCTTTTAAATTATGCAAGAGAATTGTTGCCTCTGGGAAAAAAGGAAAAGGAATGAAATTAATTGTAGAAATTAATTACATCATATCGATATTAATTTATTATTAAAGTGAGTTTGACAAAGTTTAGCATTTGATTTTGTGGAGTGACATATGCACATACATCTTTATTATGAATTCTCTGTATTACTTGATAGTTTAAATCCTTTTAAATTATGACAGTAAGACAATTAGTCATAAAACTACTACTAATCAATCCAGGCAAGTCACACAGGATCAGTATCCCCTGCCTTCATAGTCAAAGGAGCTAGATCACAGACTCTTCTATCACCCCATTCCCTGAAGTAAAGTATGTATGATTCCATTAAGCAATAAAATATAGAATAAGTAATTTTTTAAAATCCATGATAAATGGTATTATCCTACTTGCATTAGTTCATTAAAATATCTGGTCCCTCAACTAGTTTGCTGCTCCATGACTCTGATAAAAAAGCAGAGGGATCTATGTGGGACATCAGATAATTATAGTGAGTAGACACATTGATCCAGTTTTTCATTCTCCTAACAAATATTTATTGGGAATTTACAGTGTGAAAGCTAGAGAGCTAAATGTTATGGAGAATTTAAAGATAAATACAATCCACTCATTGCTCTCAAGTAGCTTGTGATATTATAAAGGAGTAAGTCACATAAAATGGTTCTAATGCAGAATAGTATTTGACAAGTGTTCCATTAGTACAAGAAGAGGGAACATGAGATCCAGCAGGAGGTCTCAAACTTCTAAAAAATATTATCTATTTACCCTCTGTTTTGTGTTTAGTGTTTGTTTTTATTTGTTTTGTTTTCGCTTTTTTTTTTTTTTTTTTTTTTTTT